TAAAAACCAGTAGGATATTTTCAATTGTTTAACTATTTATATCCTCTCTGTCTTTTTAAAATTGAGTTCAAAATTTTAAACATAGTTAAGAAGATAGTCTTGATAGCTGTACTGCAAACATAAATACTAGGCAAAAAAAATAGAACTTAGAAGGTTATGACACACCAACCATGGTGATTGGGTCTGGTTAAAAGCAAGCCAAAAAACTGGAAGTCACATATCAACTGATTCAAGGTTCTTTAAAAATAAGAAACATGTGAATCATAATGATAAAAGTGAACTGCTTGTGGATTTATCAGTTTATGAAAAACAAAATTCAATACTACAAGTTCCATAAGATACAAGGAAGATACGTTCTGTATTTCTGTATTTTACTGTCCTTTGGCTGATGCCCTGTGGTAGTTACCATAAGACTGATCGTTCTTCTGCCATGCACTAGGGGGAGGTGTGGCATAATTACTCTGGAAGGCTTTTGAGAAAATTTATGCCTATAAGGATGTATTTTCATGTCATTGTACTTCTTCTTAAGCCTTGTACTTCTAATACCCCCTGTACTACACAAAAACACATCTAACTAAGGCTAGCCAGTAAACTATCACACTGTCCTCTTGTTTTGGCATTCAGGTAAACCTAAAGTGAGAATATTTTATGACTTTCCTTGAATTAATATATAATGCAAGAAAGCTTTAAATTTATCATATTAAAAATATTGAATAATAAATGGATGTGTAATCACTACTTTTTAAATTAGCTGATACTTTTAGAGATTTGAAACCTCAGCTTCTGTAGGACATGTGTTGGGACATAGGTTCTAACCCCAGAGTGATAATACAAAGCTGTATTTTTATAAGTCAGCACTCATTCAGCAAAGTCATCCACATTTCTACAAAGTTTTAGGCCCCTTCTTACCTAGAACACAGTACGTGCATGACCATCTACCTATTTATAAAATTCAAAGACATTTTAGGATTTGAAGGTTGTTCTCTAAAGTATTCTGAACTTTTAAACTGTTACACTTTTTAGAGAGTGGTAAATTTGGGTACGGAACAGACTGCAAATTCGAACTATAAGTTATTTCATTGAACCCTCCAGGAAATAAATAGCTGCTTTATCTGAATCTTTAAACAATTATCCCAACAACAACCATCAGAATTTTCTTGTAATTGGTCTGGATTTGATTTTCTGTGAATCCTGAATGATTTATGTTTCAGATTTGTATGGCAGTCATTCACAATTTATAAATGGCAACTTAACTTCAGTATTTATGAATTGCAATCAATACTCTAGCAATCAAAACACTCACCTTTTCTATTTCAATACTTCAATTTTCTTTTTTGGTATTAACTCTTTCCCAGAGCAGCTGGATCATGAGCAAACCAGTCTTCACTTGCAGTTGATTGTAGTAATAATTTAGGAAAAAAGAATCTTTGAAAATTCTGAAGTTGATGGGGAAGAATTTGGAGCAGGTGAATGTGTGTGTGTGTGTGTGTGTGTGTGTGTGTGTGTGTGTGTGTGTAGTGTTATTTTAAAACAAGGATGAGAAATCCTAACAGATTACTGATCTTCCTTCATGTTTTACAGTTCAGCTTCTGTGCATAGCACTTTTGGCAGATGTGGTTGTCAATGGCTATTCTTTCTTAACTAAGATTCAAATTGCATATTGAACAAGAACAGTTAGACAGAACACCAAGGCTATCATGAAGGAATGCGTCCCTTTACCTTGAACCCACGCTGTGAAGAGAAGAGAAAATGAACAACAGGCACAACATAAGTGTTGTTTAGTCAAATTTCAGTTGTAACACTCTATAAAGCTTGTGTGGAGTGTATTCTTTTTTTAAAAAAATGAGGTTGTTTTACTGTAAGGAGACATGGTCCTTCTTTCAATGTGCATCTGTGGTTTTCTTCTGAAATATTTTCATAATCAAATGACTTTCCTTGCTTGAATGCCTGAGGACAGCTGATTTTTCTTGAGGGTGAACAAAGTTACATATTGATTGCTGTTGCTCTCGGCCTGTTTGCTCCAATGCGGGCAGATGCGGGCTTACGAGCACCCTGGAATTCACACAGACTTCCTGAAATATGCATCAAATGCGACAGAACGCTTACACACACACACACACACACACACACACACACACACACACACCCGAACCTCATTCAGACGCATCCACGCGGCATCAAAATGTGCCCCTCCCTGAATATGGGTGGTGAGCGGTGACTCCAGTGTGTGTGTGTGTGTGTGTGTGTGTTCGGAAATCCATTCGGAAGACCATAGCTACCTTATTCTGCAAGCATCCTGCGATTCTGATTCGCGTGTATATCAGACTAAAAAATAAAATAAATCGCTCTTAAACTTTGTGTTTTGTTTTCTAATTCTCGTTTCCGGAGGAAGACAGTGGAGTAGCTGCTCCCAGCGTAGAAGGACCCGGGAGACCTGGCGGCGAGGCCCTGGGCGCCGCCGCCGAGGCGTAGCAGGCTGGGTTAGGCGCGTTAGTTTCCCATCTACCCGATCTAATCAATGACTCTAAAGCGCTGGGCTCCCGGCCCCGCCCCCGCCAGCCTCCTCTCCGCCTCCCATTGGGCGTCGGCTGGGGAGGCCGGACCTTGCTCCTCGCGCCGATTGGCTGGCAAGGAATCAGTATCAATGTTTAAGCGGCAGCGTGAGGTGAATAGAGTCAGTCAGCAAGAGCCGCTGGGGAGAGAACGGGACTGCGAGCCGGGCGGCTGCGGCAGCGGCGGAAAGCGGCTAGGGAGACACTACTCCAACTGTTGAATTGAAATTTTCTCCTTTCATTTCCTCTGCCGCTTTGCTTGCGGGGATGGATTTATTTGGTTTGAAATCCGCACGTCTTTCTCGGGCTTTGGGGTGATCCTGACAGGCACCAGCTTGAAAGAGACCACCCGTGACAGGAAAGGAGGGATTTTAAAAATAAAATAAAATCCTCCCCAACAGACTGCACAATTAGCTATGCACACCGACGCTGGAATTTGTGAATAGACAACACTGGGAGGAAAATCTTGAACTCTGATGGGGGCTGAGCTGTGAATAATTACTGCAAGAGAGAATTTTTTTTTCCTTTTTCTAAGACTCTGAAAGATTTTGGGGTGCCTCACGCCTAGCCAAGAGGAAAGGTTTAGAAAATAATAAACAAACACAGCTAGCAAAGCAGACGCCTTGCTTCCCAGAGCCGCGGACTCCGGCAGAACGAGGTAGAGTAAAAGTGGTGTGGGGTTCAGCTTCACCTCCCCCTCTTTGCTCTTTTTTTTTTTTTTTTTCCTTTTTTCCACGAAACGTGAATCCGGTTTTTCTTTCTCTAGAGTGAGTCAGAGAAAGCGTTAGGAAGAAGCCGCAACTAATGTCTGTGAAGGCAGGACCAAGAGGCGAGAGTGAATCCGATTCGTCCCGCGGCTCCTGACTCATCCGGCAGCTCCGAACACCTGCATTTCTGGATGTGTCATCCCCGTCTCTCGAGGCGCCTCGGGAACCCGAAATAACGCGTAGACAACCCCAAGCCTAAGCTCCGCTCGGAGGTAGCTCCCCGGGGTGGGCGCCCCGGGCAGAACGGGCCGCAGCCCCTCACCCCTGCCCTCCCCGGCCGCCCAGAGACTGTAGCACAGACTGCAGAATGCACCACGCCGAACCTTGACGCCGTTCTCCCATCCAGCCCACTGCTACTATTAATTTTTTTTTTTCTAAGAGGAGAAAAACCCTCACTTTATCCTCTTCAAATATTCACCACTTTTACTCCCCGCCAAGATTTTCCTTTCTACATGAAGAGGACTGGGAGGCTGGGCCACTGGAAAGAGATGCTGAATAGAAAGAAAAGAGAGGCACTTGACAGCCCAGCCCTGTGAATGCAGAGACTGTTTCCCTTCTAGCGAGGGACAGGGCGAGTGTGTGTGCGAGGACCGGGAGGGTGGCTCCCCCTTCCTTTCTATTCGGCCTCCCCTCCCCCTCCAGATCTGCACGTCCAACCATGAGTTGCCTGTTGATTTCCCTCCGCCTGGGAAGAAAAGCAAACTGGAATTAAACTGCATGGCGAGAAGTCCTGGCTGGCAGGAAGAGGATGGGGTGGTAGAGGCGGCTGCTGGCTCGGCGTAGAGACATCCGAGTGTGTTCTACGATCAGAGGCGGAGATACATCTATATATTTCCCTTCCCAATAGACTCCCACGGCAAATGCTGATCAGGCTGTGGCTTCCTTTATTTCGGTGGAGAGCCTTTTCGGAAGAAGAGAGGGAGGAGCCTGATAGGGGGAGGAAACTACAAATCGGGACACTAGTTCTTTGCGCTGCATTTCCTCCCCTCCCTTTGGCTGCTCGGAAAGGAGAGAAAGGAAAAAAAAAAAATACGCTTGGCTGGGAGATGCAGTCCGCCGCCGCCGCCGCTTCAGCCAGCAATGCAAGATTAGATCTCTAAATGCAGCAAAACACTGCCTGAAAACAGACCAGCCTGCGCAGCAAGCAGACATCTCACGGTGCGCCGGGGAGGCTTCAGAAATATTTATCTGTGCCTCTCGTCGTGGCTCCTCGCTCCCATCAATTTCATCGCGGGAGACCAGTCCTAAGTAAGGATCTCACTTTCCGATCTGCCTGGAGACACACCTCCCCAACCCTCCCCCACCCGCTGGGAAGAGTATTCCGTAGGCTGCCGGCGAGAGCGGATTTGCGGCGCCCTAGCGGGAGCGAGAAAAACCTACCAATTCCTGAGCTCATTGCCCTCCCTCCCAGACTCGATTTCCTCCTTTTCGCCGGCCTCGTCGCTCAAGTTTGAACCTGCTGAAGTCGAGGCGGGAGAGACAAAGCCCCCGGCTCGCCCTCAGCCGCAGGGAGCCGCCGCCTCGCTCCGAGCCGCTGCAGCTCCGCGGCGCCGCTGCCTCTCACCCGGTGCGGATGCTGTAGATCAACAGGTTCGGGGAACTTGAGCGGAATCGGCAGAGACTGCCCTGCGGCAGCCCGGGTGCGGAGGAGAGGGAGCACCGCGGACTTGCGGCTCGCGCCGCGCACGCACGCCCTGCCCGGGCCTCAGGCTGGCGCGCACCCGCCGGTTCGTCCCTCCAGTCCGGCTGCTCCTGCCCCCACCCCACCGGTCTGGGATGTACCTTTCCATCTGTTGCTGCTTTTTGCTCTGGGCCCCTGCCCTGACGCTCAAGAACCTCAACTACTCCGTGCCGGAGGAGCAAGGGGCCGGTACCGTGATCGGTAACATAGGCAAGGATGCTCGACTGCAGGCAGGGCTTCCGCCAGCTGAGCGCGGGGCCAGCGGCGGGCGAAGTAAGTCGGGCAGCTTCCGGGTGCTGGAGAACTCCGCGCCGCACCTGCTGGACGTGGACGCCGACAGCGGGCTCCTCTACACCAAGCAGCGCATCGACCGCGAGTCCCTGTGCCGCCACAACGCCAAGTGTCAGCTGTCCCTCGAGGTATTCGCCAACGACAAGGAGATCTGCATGATCAAGGTGGAGATCCAGGACATCAACGACAACGCGCCCGCCTTCCCCTCTGACCAGATCGAAATGGACATCTCGGAGAACGCCGCCCCGGGCACTCGCTTCCCGCTCACCAGCGCGCACGACCCGGACGCCGGCGAGAACGGGCTCCGCACCTATCTGCTCACGCGCGACGACCACGGTCTCTTTGCCCTGGACGTCAAGTCCCGCGGAGACGGCACCAAATTCCCAGAGCTGGTCATCCAGAAGGCGTTGGACCGCGAACAGCAGAACCACCACACGCTGGTGCTGACCGCCCTGGACGGCGGGGAGCCGCCGCGCTCGGCCACCGTGCAGATCAACGTGAAGGTGATCGACTCGAACGACAACAGCCCGGTCTTCGAAGCGCCCTCGTACTTGGTGGAACTGCCCGAGAACGCCCCGCTGGGCACCGTGGTCATCGATCTGAACGCCACCGACGCGGACGAGGGCCCCAACGGCGAAGTGCTCTACTCCTTCAGCAGCTACGTGCCCGACCGCGTGCGGGAGCTCTTCTCCATCGACCCGAAGACCGGCCTGATCCGGGTGAAGGGCAACCTGGACTACGAGGAGAACGGCATGCTGGAGATCGACGTCCAGGCCCGAGACCTGGGCCCCAACCCGATCCCGGCGCACTGCAAGGTCACAGTCAAGCTCATCGACCGCAACGACAACGCGCCGTCCATCGGTTTCGTCTCCGTGCGCCAGGGGGCGCTGAGCGAGGCCGCCCCGCCCGGCACTGTCATCGCCCTGGTGCGGGTCACCGACCGGGACTCGGGCAAGAACGGGCAGCTGCAGTGTCGCGTCCTGGGCGGAGGAGGCACGGGGGGCGGCGGCGGCCTGGGCGGGCCCGGGGGCGCCGTGCCCTTCAAGCTGGAGGAGAACTACGACAACTTCTACACGGTGGTGACCGACCGCCCGCTGGACCGCGAGACCCAGGACGAGTACAACGTGACCATCGTGGCGCGGGACGGGGGTTCGCCGCCGCTCAACTCCACCAAGTCCTTCGCGGTCAAGATTCTGGACGAGAACGACAACCCTCCTCGGTTCACCAAGGGGCTCTACGTGCTGCAAGTGCATGAGAACAACATCCCGGGAGAGTACCTGGGCTCTGTTCTCGCCCAGGACCCCGACCTCGGTCAGAACGGCACTGTGTCCTACTCCATCTTGCCCTCGCACATCGGCGACGTGTCCATCTACACCTACGTGTCTGTGAACCCCACCAACGGGGCCATATACGCCCTGCGCTCCTTTAACTACGAGCAGACCAAGGCGTTTGAGTTCAAGGTGCTTGCTAAGGACTCGGGGGCGCCCGCGCACCTGGAGAGCAACGCCACTGTGAGGGTGACAGTGTTAGACGTGAACGACAACGCGCCAGTGATCGTGCTGCCCACGCTGCAGAACGACACCGCCGAGCTACAGGTCCCGCGCAACGCGGGCCTGGGCTACCTGGTGAGCACCGTGCGCGCCCTCGACAGCGACTTCGGCGAGAGCGGGCGCCTCACCTATGAGATCGTGGACGGCAACGACGACCACTTGTTTGAGATCGATCCGTCCAGCGGCGAGATCCGCACGCTGCACCCCTTCTGGGAAGACGTGACGCCCGTCGTGGAGCTGGTGGTGAAGGTGACAGACCACGGCAAGCCCACGCTCTCCGCGGTGGCCAAGCTCATCATTAGGTCGGTGAGCGGCTCCCTGCCCGAGGGAGTGCCCCGGGTGAACGGCGAGCAGCACCACTGGGACATGTCCCTGCCGCTCATCGTGACTCTGAGCACTATCTCCATCATCCTCCTAGCGGCCATGATCACCATCGCTGTCAAGTGCAAGCGTGAGAACAAGGAGATCCGCACTTACAACTGCCGCATCGCTGAGTACAGCCACCCGCAGCTGGGCGGGGGCAAAGGCAAGAAGAAGAAAATCAACAAAAACGATATCATGCTGGTGCAGAGCGAAGTAGAAGAGAGGAACGCCATGAACGTCATGAACGTGGTGAGCAGTCCCTCCCTGGCCACCTCCCCCATGTACTTCGACTACCAAACCCGCCTGCCCCTCAGCTCGCCCCGGTCAGAGGTGATGTATCTCAAACCAGCCTCCAACAACCTCACTGTCCCTCAGGGGCATGCAGGCTGCCACACCAGCTTCACAGGACAAGGGACTAATTCGAGCGAGACCCCTGCCACTCGGATGTCCATAATTCAGGTAGGAGACTTTTAGCATAATTGGGACTGAATTCACTTTATTGCTGGTTTGGGAGCTGTCCTGAAATCTTTGGAAGAAGATAGGCCACACCGTCAGCAGCAGGGAAAAGGCACATTTTGAAATGAAAAAGATTTTACACTTTTGACACTGTGTACATCAGTTTGTACACATAAACCCTCCCAGATAAACAGCCTAAAATCTAGAAAGTGTAGATGTCTTACTCTGTTACATTTTAAAGTTTACTTTTATACACTTAAAAATGATAGCAGTGCTCAGTGTGCAGACTTTATCTTATTTTATTTGTTGGTCCACATATCATTACATAAAAGTGTTTCCAGATTGAGAAAAAAACTTAATTCTCTTAAAAAGATTTTAATTCCATTTTAAATTTTTTTGATACAAAAATGAAAGAAATGTATATCCAACTATTAAGTTCTTATAGAATAGTCTAGCAGCCAGGCAGAATTCTGGAACTTAAACAAACTTGAACTAAGTATTCACTCCCCAAAAGTCAGTTTTATATTGAAAAAGTGTTTTAAGAGACACGAATCTCAGTAGTTCTATATCTGCACTGCTGTAATTTAAACCTTTGAAATAAGAGTCACACTCAAAAGTGCTCTCAAATTTTGAATATATGGAAGCTGAGGATAGTGACCAGTAGATATTTAGGTAAAGTTTATATTCGTTTACACCTATGTTTTCCCTAATTTGTTTGTTGGAATCACTGAGAAGTTCAAGGTTTATAGTAAAAGGTCACAGGGTTATTTTTTGCTTTTCAAAACAGGACACAAGTTGCAACTGATTCCAAGTTGCATTTACTTTGCATAATGTGTTTTCAATTCATGTGATAGTTAATATATACTATATAGAATAATTTAAAGCTATTAATATATGCCAAAACCTGCGTGAGTGATAAAGCATGGACATCAACTCGCAGAAAGTTTGACTCTATTGACTATACTGTGTCTAGTCACTGTGTAGTTTCTTCTCACTACACTGTTGTGTCACAGAAAAACTTAATTCTTGCTTCTTATGAATGTGGGTTGATACAAATTACTCTGGATAAGCAGTGCTTGAAGTTCAAAATTGAGCTTAAGTAAAAGTGACACTTTGGGAGGCAGATTGGTTTGAGGTAAATGAAAAATAATTTGTTCATATTATTATGCTTTAAAAAGCAAATAACTTTTAATGACACAACTCAGTAATGGTTTTATTGTTAAAGTGGAGTAGTAAATTTTCGTGCTCTTACTAACTTTCTAGCATAACAGGTGTGCTATATACTAATACTTAACATATTTTTCTATAATAGCACAATTTCCTTGTAAGATAGACCCTTGTATGTGACTCTACTTAATACTAAAGTGTCAATAATAGTAGTAGCTACCACTTTTCATAGCATTTAGTGTATGTAAGTAATCATGTTTTTTGAAGTTTATGCAAAACTAAAGCAGAAATTTCCAACTTTAAAAAATACGGTTTCTATGGAAGTCTTTCTGTGACTATGTAAATTTGATATTTATGATAATCAATGTCTGTACAGAGGGAGATGTGCTAAAATTATTTTGGAGGGTATCATGCTGGGGATTGAACCAATGGCCAAAGGCATGCCAGATAACCACACTACCACTGACTACATCCCCTGCTCTAAAAATGTATATGTACAAATCTGCTATAGTTATTTTATACACATACCTGTATATCTCATTTTATGTTTATTGCATTAATAACACAAATATGTCACAAACAGTTAATTCTTAACCCTTCACTTTAAGTGATGTTAGTTGAATTCCAATTTAGTTTCCATTAAAATATGAATTTGGTGCAGTAGAATTCCCAGCACTTCTGATGTCTTGGTAAGAATAGTGAAGAACAGTCTGAGATTGAAACATCAAGAAGAGTTTGAGGGATAATGAGGTTTCTACTTCTTTCCAATGTGATGATCATTGATTAAGGATGTTACTGATGCTGCTGCTGATGGTTCTTCTTATTAGCAGTAAAATTTAAATCACAGCAAACTGCACACACACAAACATAGAGACATGCACAACTTAAGCAGAAGGCAAAAGAGAAACTGACCTCCTTTTTCCCTTAGAATCTGAATCCATACTACAGAAACACAAAATGGGTGTTAACTTCAAGTCTGAAAATTTTTTTCAGAGTATCTCAGTTTCTCATGTTGGTTTAGACCTGGAAAGATTCTCAACAGAAACTATTAAATAGACTTTTTATTTTCTTGTTAATTTTTTTCAATCCTATATGAGGTGTTTGTAAATCTATGATATGCTAATTTCCCTTTAAACATATCAGGTTTATTATGGTACTTATTATGGAGAATAAGGTACATTAGTAAATTGCTGTTTTTTTTAAAAAGCTAGTGTGCTACAAATACATTGTTTTGAAGTGACACACTTAAATTAAAGCGTGCAAGTATCCCATAATCTTGTTCAAAATGTTTTCATTAGTGTGTGTATGTAATAGAGCCTGCAAAGGAAACACATTATTAATCTCATGTGTATTTCTGAAGGCAGTCTTTTAGTCCACTAAATCCACTTGGACTAACAACTACGATGTCTAGTTCATCTGTATTTTTCAGCATTTGTATGCTATTTAGAGGGTTCCTAGTGTAATTTCATCAATGGATTAAAAATAATTTCATAATTGTGTTGCAATACTCTGATACAATATAGTGATGTGAAATTTGAGATTTTTATGACTTATGAAGCTCATGTTACAAAGAAATGGAATATTTGGTTAAGCACCAAAACATTTTATGCCCTTCTAACATGTTCAGATTAATGTGAAAAAGTTCTTCTTGAGAACAAGAATATTTTTACTGACTATGAATACAAAATAGTCATGTAATTTTGTGTAGAAACAGAGATTTGTGAGAGAAAACTTTATTTTAGATTTGTACCAACTTCCTCAAATTAAATTTGGCCTATAATAGATTGTAAAGATAAATTATGGAAAAATATCTACAATAAAATGAATTATCTTAAGTTTAAGATTTTAAACTTAAAGTTTTGAGAAAAATATCTACAATAAAATAGCATAGTTATAATGAATATTTTTTCATGTTAAAGATACAAGGTTATAGAACATAGATTTTGAGTAGGTAAGGTAGATAGATGTTTATACAAATTTTAAAAACCTTTCCATAGGAACAATTTTCATGTGAGTCATTTCATGTGTTAAAATGAAATCTAAAGAGAACCAGATATCATTATTCATTCTGAAGAATAACTTCTAGTTATGACTTATAGTGAATGAATTGTTAAGACTTAGAGTGACTTTTCAACAGGTGTTTTCAGTGCAGGCCACCTTGAGATGAGGGTAGGAAGCTGGGGACTTCTCACTTATGAAACCATTTCCAGTTTGAAGATCGGTCTTTTCACAGTGTGGTAGTACTACTACAAGTCATTTTAATATGGTATCATAGAATAAAGTATAATAAGCCATCAAAATAAGTATATTAAAATAAATTTTAGAAGGAATGTATCCTTAGTGTTTTACAGATCAGTTTTGCAAGATTCGTGTTAGAGTTGACTTTAGAGTCCTTATGCTAGGATGATAAAATTCTTTTGAAATATGTGCAAGGCAATTTCAATAAAAAGGAATTAAGTACAGAGTAAATGTCTAAAGCCAATCCAAGCATATAAAAATGAAACTGAAGTGTAAAGGACTAAGGTATCATAGTATGAATAATACATTCAGCATTTCAGAACAAAAAGATAAAAGTCTAGATTTCATAATAGAAACATCCACTATCTGTCTTTATTCCTGCCTCTCTAATGCAAGACATTCTTGGCTATGGAGAGTCACTCGTGAATTTTCAAGAGTATGATCTTTCAAACTTCTTACTCTAGTAATTAATGTTTTCAGCAACACAAGCACACTGTGGAATCAATTTCCTTTGTTATAATTTTGGAGGCATTTGCTGCAATTTTTACTCTAAGAAGTCATTATTTGATTAATTCCATGTATTAGTTTCCATACATTTTATATACTCTCTATTCACTGGGGATATGGGGGCATGTAGGAAAGAGATATCTCTTTCTTAGTGCATGAATAAAGGAGTGTTTTATGTACTCTTAAAAGTTTTGAGAAAATAATGGAGTAATTTATACTTTAGAGTAACATGAGTGCACCGTCATTTAATATTGTCTTTTTAAGCTTAAAAATAATTCACAATAAATTAAGTTTAAAACATTATCAGCCACTAGGTGTTTGAAGCTTCTTGGGGAAGTGTTCAAAATTTTTAAGTATCAAAAAATTATTATTGTTCTTCTTAGTATATTGTTATTTTTCTTCTTAGTCTTATGTGAATGTCCAAAAATTTCAGCTTTACTGTAAATCTTTGTGCATTTCTCTATTGCACAATAAATGAAAAAAGTATCTTTGACTATATGAATTTTAAACTGCATAATTCTGCTTTTTAATTGTAGATTGATAATGCCTCATAAGGCAATAACATTTTCACCTATTTGGTTTCAGTTTTCCATAATTTTTTAAATACAAGCTATGTGAAATGTTATCACTCTTACACTAAGGTGATAATGCATCATGCTTTTAAAACTATAAGAATAAGATCATTGTAAAATTTATCTGAGTCGTAATGGTAAGTTTGATAACTTCAGTATACATTAACACGTATGTCTACACCAAATCTTTGAAATTTTATTCTTAGTATTTTCATGTTATATAAGGCTGATATGATTATAGAATAGTATGACTAAAAATTCTTCTAAACTAATTAAATATACTTTTTAGCAATAAAGTATACATTTTCCAAAAGAGGACCATCGAATATATTGCTTAAGCCATGCAAAAGACAGCAAAGAAACCCCATACAAAACTAGAGTTTCTAGAAATATTTTTCTATAAGCTCAGTACTATAATAGTTGTTATACACTTCCTTAAAATATATAGAAACAGCTTTTATAAGAGTGTAAGATAATTTTAAGATATCACCCCAATTATTTATGTAAATAAATAATTAT